TGCATTTAACCTATGTACATCCACTGCCACACTTTAAATCTCTAGGCCACGTATAGTTCTTAATACAATGGAAATGCTAGATGAATCATTGTTACATTGATTGGAGAATGGTAAGTTTATAAAGTATGATGTGTTCAGTACTAATGCAGTGTTGTTGTTTTTCCCCAAATACTCTGATGTGCCATTGGTCTAACCTATCTAACCTATGTCTGTGGACATGGAAAAGAGGACTAACAATACTTCCAAAAAATTGGCAAATACTCTGCACTGAATAATCAGGATGCAAGAGCCATATGTGAATTCTTGGCTCCCGTCAGTGTTCAGATAATTTCCTCTTGTCTTGCTCCATCCAAAGTGTAGAGTACGGGTCCTGTGGCTGAGATGAGAGTCAGTGCTATTCTCAGATCAGCTCAGAGAACAGCAGCACAGACATTCCTGGGAACTTGCTAGAAGGCAAACCTCAAACCCCTTGAATCAGAACCTTCATCCTCATAAAAAAATCTTCAGATGAATCAGGTGCACAATCAAGTCTGAGAAATACTGATTGAACCAAGTGATTTTCAAACTACTAGCAATAAGTCATAAAATTTATTTAGTGGTTGTGATGAGAACTGTTTTGCTTTCACTAAAGTTATTGATTTGCTAAGAAAATGTATCCACAACAGCAACAACAAGGTCAAGTAAAATGATTATTCATTCATAAAGCTCCCGACTCTTGAGATAAGCTCCTTTTAAGCAGACAACATAGTTCCATCCTCATTTATACTAGCAATTTATTACTTCTTATGTATCACCTTGGATCATGTTTTCTGGATTACCATGTGATTAGGATGAAGTATTGACAAGTTTTCTCTCCCTTGGTGACCAAGATTTTAAAGAAAGAATTGTATAGATGAAACATGAGAGTATGACCTGAATATAGGCAAATATTGTAAAATGTCTGTTTCAATTATGTGTGTAAGCATTTACTCATTGTGTAGATTGTGTATTTTCCCAGTGGGTCATGGTCAAAAACATTTGAAATCTGCTGATGCTATGATTGGCTGGTTACTCCCCAAAGCATTCTGTGCTCTACCCACTAATCAAGTTAACCTATGAGACCAATGCCTGTAGACACCCAAACCACAGCATGCTTCGCTATGCTACTTATGCTGTTACACAGCTTTGTAAGAAATACATGAAAATGAATGACTATGTAATAAGCTCTTTTTTCTACTTCTTGCTTCTAGAAAAGAATTCTCAAAAATAGCATGCTTTAGTTTATTAGAAAAGGAGTTAATCTATTATATTTCCCTTTTCTAGTCTTGACTCTTGGTTTTCTCTGAGCCATACCTAACACTAACTGTATTAGCTTTGTTGTTTTTTTCATTTTCCTTTTCACTAAAGAGAAGACTATCTTAATAGTATCTCAGTACCTTTGCCAGTTACCTTACAACAGAGGGCCAAAAAGATTAGAACACTGGACAGAGGCAAATAGCCCTGTGTTGAGACAATCTTTGTGTGCACTACAGAGATCTAGTCTGTAATTATATAGTGGGGAGAGAAGGGGGGGCCATGTATCTGTGCTACATTGAACTCATGAATTGAATCAATACAGTGAATTAGTGTTTGTTCTGAAGCTCTGGGATATTATTTTACCTTTTAGTAATAAAGGTACCTACCTTATAGAGTTGTGTGAAGTCTTTATGCTAGTGAAATTCAAACCTACCTTACAGAGTTGTGTGAAGTCTTTATGCTAATAAAATCCAATGTATTATAACATTTACACCCAACTCTTAGGGTACATGGGGAACTGCAGCAGATACCAGGCAGAGAGAAACAAAGTTTCTCCTCCCAAGGCCTGTTCTAGCAAGGAAGCGGATAAATCGGTATCAAGTTTTTAGAGAGGTAAACAATCCATAAACAAGTACATTGCTCCACCAGTCTCTTGATGGATTTCCCCAATCTCAGTTGGGCTTCAGAAACCCTCCTTGGGTCCATGAGAAGCTACAAAGCCTCCCCCAGGACAGTAAATGCTTTCCTCTGCTGCACCAAGGCCTTTCCCAGCCCTCTTTTGAATCGCCTCCTCTGTCCAGCCACACACATCCCATGGATATTCCTTGAACAGAGAAAGTAGGTCTAGGTCAAGATGCTGCTAAAAATCTGTGTGTGGAGTATTCTCTCCCCAAATATCTACATGGCTGACCTCTCCTTCATTTCTCTGTTCAGATGGCATGTTTGCTCCTGAGGCCTTTGACAAGACCCCTACCATTAATGCAGATTCTCTACCCTTCAGCACTCTATTCTGACACCTTCATTCCCTGCCCCGCCCCTGACCCAGGGTGCTCTTTTCTATATCCGTATGCAGGGTGATGGTTAATTTTCTGTATCCACAAGGTTAAGACACAGCGCCAAGTTAGTGCATCATTATCCTTGGTGTTTCAGTGAATGGACTTATTTGATGGAATTAATATTTAAATGAATTGACTTAGGGCAAATCAGATTATTCTCCATAATGTGTTTGTGAGGAAGGGGCTCAGTAATCAAAGGCCTTAATTACCTCTTCCAAGCAAGAAGAAATTCTGCCAGGACACTTAGCTTTGGACTTGAAATTTTCCTTGACAGATTTGGGATGTCAGCCTCTGGAGTTGCATGAGACAATTCCTGAAATCTTAATCCCAGTAGCTCTCTCTCCATATTGTTTCTTGGGTGACACCGACTGATAGATGTGTGTGTTTGTCTTCCTAGACCAGATGTAAGGACCCCAAGAATAGGAATAGCATTATTTACTTAGCTAATCATGTCCTCTAGAAGATTTTGTTGAATGAAGTGAACAAATAAGAATTTCAAAGTGGAAAAATGCAATTAGAGAAAGTGATGAGAATTAATGGCTGGGAAGAAAGTTTCCTATTTACTGTATTGAATAGTGTCCCTCCAATTTATGTCTTCTTGAAACCTCCAAGTGTATCTTTATTTGGGACCAGACAGAATCTACTTAAATTGAGATGAGGTCATCCTAGATTAGGATGCCTTTAAGAGAAGAGAAACCAAGTCAGTCACTGGTGGCTCACACCTGTAATCCTAGATACTCAGGAGACTGAGATCTGAGGATTGTGGTTCGAAGCTAACCTGGGCAGGAAAGTCTGCAAGACTCTTATCTCCAATTAACCCCTAAAAAAGCTAGAAGTAGAGCTGTGGCTCAAGTGGTAGAGCACTAGACTTGAGCAAAAAAGCTCAGGGGCAGTGCCCAGGCTTCTGAATTCAAGTCCCAGGAACAGCTCAAAAAAAGAAAAAGAAAAGGAGAAACATCAGACCTGGAAGACTCAGAATGCTGTTACACCACGCAAATAGAGACACAGGCACGATGGAAGAACAGCATACGACAAGGGAGACAAATAGCACCAAGCAGTGGGAGGCCAGCAGACACTGGACAGCGGCATGGGATGACACCTTCCTGACCTCCAGAGGATGCAGATTCTGCTGGAAACCTTGCTTTCAGGTTTCTGGCCTCCAGAACTCCGTGAGCAAGTGGACCACATGTTCTGAGACATCCAGTCTTGGGCACTGTTATGGTCTTGGAAACAGACCGACCCCTTAACCACTTCCCTGAGCTGTAGTGGCTTATATGTCCTTGAAGAGCTGTCGTCCCCTTGTAGACCATCCAGGCTCAAGGTGCTTCCCACTGGACCATCTTCATGCAGCCTTGCACCCAGACATGTATGAGGCTCATGACTGGGAAAAGCTGCACATGGAACTGAGGCAGGGAGCTTCAACCTTCTAGGTTGCCAGAGCATAGCATGCTTTTTAAATCTTCAGTCTCTTGGTTAAGAGAACATAACAGAGATTATGCTGGAAATCAAGGCAGGAGCGCGTGACATTCCCCAAATAGGATAGTGGGGTGTGGGGAGACATTCACTCACCCTCTTAGTTAAGGTCTGACAGTATTCACACAAAGATTTCCATTGTCCACTGCTTCACACAGAACATCCATGAAGCTTCTCTCTGCCAGAGGCCATGAGGTCTTGTGTAGCCTGTGTGAGCTGTGTGTGACTGTGGGAAGGAGCCCAGGATGGGCCCTTATTGGCTCTCCAGTACCCAGCACATTCCCTTAGGGTGCTAATCAGAGTCTATAACTGCATATTAATGTGATTAAATTATTTTGTCTGGAAGGATACTTATCTGTTCAACCAAAAGTCCCCATGGGAGCAATAGAATTATGACATGTTATTCCACATTGTGTGTGTAGCTCATAACACAATATCCAGCTCCCAACAGGCATTTAACAAGTATTTACTAAAGGAAAGTGAAATGTGTAAATATATAGATTATTTCAGGATACTAATGGCACACTGAGATGGTGAAAATCTCCTAGGAGCAGTCCCTCCCTCCCTCCCTCCCTCCCTCCCTCCATCATTCCCTCCCTCCCTCCCTCCTTCCTTCCTTCCCTTTCCTCCCCACCCCATACAGTCCCTTATGGTCTAGTGCATAAAGGTTTCTATCCTCTTGCCATACAACACTGTAATTATCAACTCCAAGACCTTCTTTCTCCCAACTCTATTTAGCCTCTCTCTCTCTCTCTCTCTCTCTCTCTCTCTCTCTGTCTTTCATGGGTAGTCTACATTCTCTCCCCAACCCCCCAAAGCAAATCATTTGAATTTCTAGTGGAAAACAGTCAGAGCTGAATGTACACTGAAGTCACTCTGGGTACAGTAGTGGTGGGCATTGGGGTAGCTAGCAACCCTTCCAGACCCCAGCACTCTCAAAGAGCCCCTAATTTAAGAATCCCATTTCAGGGGACTCAGAGCTACAGAAAGATCTCGTAAGGCCCAGCCTCAGGGGGTGCATGGGCCTTCAGACCTTGATTTAGACTCAGACCACTTCTAGCCCTCAGGGAGCGATGGATCCCCAGTGCACCCCAGTTCTTGAGAAACGTCGTTCTCTATCTTCCCACATTCGCATTCACATGGTACACAGTGTCCATCCGCAGGACTGGTGTCAGGACACAACACAGTAGAACCATATAAGAAAATAACTTTGTTATTAAGCACATACATTCATAGAAAAGTACTTCATAGTATCACATCCATTACTGGTTGGAATATTAGCTCAACTGTGGTATGACCCAATATAAATAATGAGCAGAGTTACAGAAGCATATGATAGTCACTGGGAGATGCAAACCCACCTGAAAATTCCCTGGGGAACGCAGGGAATTTTACATGTAGTGAAAGGATTCTTTCCTATGGTTTCTTTACAGCAGGAACATTTGCAGAAGGACAATGCAAAGCCCATGATTGCATGCATTAACAACTATAGTCATTGTGGTTTTGTTTTCCCAAATGGAAAATTATTTTTTTGGTTTGTTATGAAACCTACACGCTGACGGTGCCAGGAAACATTTCATCTAGTTCCCCGAATTCATGATTAATAGCTTCAGATGGTTCTATTCTATTAAGTGTTTGGGCCAGCCTTCAGGAAGGCTGCCTGGAAGATAAGTTCTCAGAATGAGGCTGCAGTGGTGCGCGCTCTCTCTCTCTCTCTCTCTGTCTGTCTCTCTCTGTCTCTCTGTCTCTCTCTCTCTTTCTCTGTCTCTCTATCTCTCCCTCTCTCTGCAGGACCCAGGGATGGAACTGGAGAGGGGAAACACATCCAAAATAGAATGAGGAATTGCAGCCTGAAAACATGAGGTGCTGGTCATGGAAAGGGCTGTCCCCTGTACTCTTGGGTGTGGCTACAAGAGGGCCAACAGTGGTCCTGAATAATGGAAAGGAAACATGACCCAGCAGGGTATTCTGTACCTGATTTTTGGTGGACTGACACTTCCCTCCCTTCTCCCAAATGCCAATGAGCATTTATTTTCTACTCATGCTACACCCATGTCTGAGTTTACACAGCAGAAATGACTTTAGTCAATGGGTGGTAGGTGTTGAAAATCAACACAGGAGGTGAAAAAAAGGCAGACTCCTCTTTGTGCCCCTATTAGCACAAGAAAGCTGGGAATCTCTCCCTTTGGAACTGGGAAGGGGAAAAGGTTTTCCTCATACTAAAGTGCATGCCCTCCTTCTACTACCTGCAGTCGACTTTTATTCCCACTGCTTTGCAGTAGCATAGGTGAACTTATAACTAACTTATGACTAACCAGAACTCTCAGTTCTGGTTAGGAAGATGCAAAAAAAAAAAATGAAGTCACCATGTCTACTAAAGAGTTCAAGAGGTACATAAAAGTCTATTTTCCCTCATGAAACATGAACTGATTTAGTATATCTGTGGCAAGTTTCATTCTTACTCCTAATGTTTTTTCATGTTTTGTGCAGAAGCCCTGTTTAAACATCAAAGCTTTGATTTTTTTTAAAAGCCCCAACTAAGACATATTAGAGATAATGATACCTTAGGAGGTCTTATCTTAGAAAAATATAATTTGGGCCTAAAGAGTATACATTTGATCATATAGTTACCCAAGTTTTGAAAAGCTGAAGATAGTAATGACTTTCTAAATGGATACAGCCTAGCAGTTTGATATTACAAAATACAGGCTATTATGAGTTTTGCTGGAAATACTTACCTGGAATAGTCTCACAAATCATAGCTATTATAATGTTCCATTCATTCTTTTAATATATTATCCTGGGCTCTTACCAAACTTACAGTTATCTTGCATTTTTATAAGCCTTTGGCAGTAAAGATTATATTTCTAAACACAGTTCACTGTCCAAAAAGTCAAGATAATAAAAAATTTTCAGGAAAAAATTAAAGATGGAGCAAATCATCTCTCATAGAACCTGTGCATAATTTTCTTTTAAACATGCATGCATCCATGCATCCATCCACCCATCCACACCTTTTAAATACTGCATTCTACAAGCAGCAAACATTAAATAGATTCCAGGCAGGACCCTGCAGCTGTGGCTTCCACCCCTTCACAAATGTGTGGTTCATGATAAATGCCCAATTCTGTAGAGACAGAGGGGGATGAAGGGATGACAGAAAGCAAACCTAGGACTGCATTTGTCTTCATCTCTAAAAATGCTAGTGGACAGTCACAGGGAATTTGGCATAAGTAAGAAATAGCAGTCCCAAGACTGTATTTTGGACAGGATTGAAAGGAAGGAAGCACTTGAGCTTTGTAGACAGAGCCCTTTCCTCCTATTTGTCAGCAAGAAGATTAAAAAGTGTCACACAAAGTCACCACCTGTGGTTACCTTCCAAAAGTTTTCACTGTAGGGGAATAATATAGGTTAAAAAGAAATGGGAGCTGGGAGCTAGTGGCTCCCACCTGTAATCTAGCTGAGGTATAAGGATCGAGGTTTGAGTCTAGTCCACACAGGAAAGCATGTGAAACTCTTATCACCAATTAACTACCAAAAAAAAAAAAGTGGAAGTGGGGAGTGGCAGAATGTTAGCTTTGAGTAAACCAGCTAAGGGATAGAACCCAGGCCCAAGGTGGGGGAGGGAAGAGAAGGAAGAAATTGAGAATTTCTGCTGAGCACAGAAAATCCATATTTTTCCATTTCCCTATTCAAGAGAATTCTCAACAGTCTATTATTCCCGTTATGTGGGCCTGACTCTAAACAAGAGCCTCAAATGCCCTGGAAGAGCAAATTTACCTGCCTCCACGAATTAGGCTTCAATGGGGTCCCTCCTCTCTTTCCTTTTGCCCACAGCCTAGGCTAACACCCTCCTTCCAGCCTTGAACCCCACTCTGCAATTGTCAACTTGCATCATGACCCAATGATGTGTCTCTGGACGACTGGTCTGAGCCAGGGAATTCTGCACCTCTTTCTAAAGGTCAAACCACTTTATTTAACAAATCATCTGTGCTGTATGGAGCAAGGTACGCCTATAATCAAACAGTTTCTAAGAAAGTTTTCTTTTTCTCGTAGTACTGGGGCTTGAACTCAAGACTTTCAGTGTTCTAGGCAAGTGCTCTACCACTTGAGCCACACACCCCCAGCCCTAAGCAAGGAACAAAATGGATTTTATTCCCATCTACTCGTTGTAAAAGAAGATTTTTTACACAGCCAGAGGAACTATCTTTTCCACGTAGGACACTTATAAATAGGTGATATGACCCTCTAATTGTCCTATGTAGAGTTCAAAATATGGCAAGTTATATGACAGTAAAAATGTATGACTATAATTCTTCTCCATTTCCCCTAATCTCCACTCCTAAATTTTCTCCTTTCTGTAACAAAATATGAGTGACAAACCTGGATAATGAGATGGAATATTTTAAAATTGATTAGCTTGTCAAGAAAGATCCTCCTCCATCCCCTTTTAAATGAAATGGTCTTGTCTACTTTGAACACACTTGTTTTTAGACGTAGCCACACATTTTTTAAGAGCTCACTTGGCAAATCCCAATCCCCTCTCCCCCTTTTGGTATTCCGCCTAATTTTACGATATCGTGAGAGTAATTGACAGAAATCCAACAGATCATGGAAGAAGCATGATCTACACCATCCAATGTCCCTCCACAGGAAGTGCGTTCATTCGCCATGTGCTATCTAACTCCAGCAGGGCTCACTGAGACTTGGAAAACAGTATTTGGAAGAGGCCTAGTGGGAAAGAAGGAATGAGAGGAAAGACAACAAAATGTATCCTGTAGGCCTCCAGTGGCTTTTTCTTTAGATGCTTGAACTGCAGGACAAGGGGCTCTTTTGCCGCTGAAGATGTAACTATGTGCTATGGGTACAAGTCTCTGGGGCCCCCCAGGTCTCTTGCCTCCGTTCCTCTTGGATAGTCATCTCCAGAGCCAAAGTCCACGGTCTCTGGGTAGCTGGAGAATTCCTGAGGCGAAGGGAACTCCTCTGCCGAAGAGTGAGTCCGGTGCCCGAACACCTGTTCCTGCAGCTCAGCGATGTCGTTGCGGATATCAGCCAGCATAAGCAGCAGGAAGTCGAATGACCCTGGGGGTCCCTGGGCACGTGGGAGAAATCAAAGCTATGATTTATGGCAGACTTGCCCTCACCCCAGTTATAGCCTTCTGGCTGTTAGTATGTAGATTAACAGCCTGGAACCTTCCAGATTGTTCTCTAACTTCCCATCTCACATAGAACTGGTGACATACTCCCCTGTTTCCCCTCTCCTAACTCCAGGCAACCACCAATCTGCCAGAAGAATATGAGAACAACCTTCTGAGGTATGCTCCAAAGGAATGCGGAAGTCACTGTGAGGACCGTAGAATAGAGGCTAGATTTCGATTGGGTTCGAGTCTCAGCTTTGCTACTGGAAAGCTGTGTGGTCATGGGCAAATCACTTGATTTCTCTGAGTTTCAGTTGCCCATTTGGAAAATGGGCATAATAATAACAGTCCTGCCTTTACAGACTGTCAGAGTTCAGACACCAACATGTAAGTAACTTAATCCACGTAAAAGGTTTAGAGGACACTAAAAGTGCAAAACGTTATCAGCTATTCTTTAAAAATGACATTTTAAAGATAGTTTTGAGAGCATGGCTTGCAAACACCAAATCCTAGCTGGGCATTGGTGGCTCACACCTGTCATCCTAGCTACTCAGGAGGCTGAGCTCTGAGGATCATGGTTCAAAGCCAGCCCAGGGAAGAAAAGTCTGTGAGACTCTTATTTTATGTCCAGTCAGAAAAAGCTGGACATGGTGCTGTGGCTTATATGGTAGAACACTAGCCTTGAATGAATGCTCAAGTCCTAAGACCAAGCCCCAGGACTGGCATAAAAAACAAATAAACAAACAAAAAAGCCCCCAAATCCTTATTGGCTAGAAAAGGTCCAAATAAGAACTTCATATTTTTCCTATTTATTAAACATCTATTATTGCTATATAGTATTTATTAAACTTTTTATTTTTGTGCTGGTACTGGGGCTTGAACTCAGAGCCTTGTGCTCTTACATAGCTTTTTTGCTCCAGATTGGAGCTCTACTACTTGAGTTACACTTCCAGCTTTTTGATGGGTTGTTTGGAGATAAGAATCTCTCAGATTTTTCTGCCTAAGCTGGCACTGAATTGAGATCCTCAGATTTCAGCCCACTGAGTAGCTAGGATTATGAGTCAGGGGTCCCCAGTTTTACTAAGCTTTAATTTCCATGTCATCAACAACAGCAACAACAACAACAACAAAGCAATAACAACGTGTTGAAGCTCCACGACCACCATCAAAGTATATACACATATCTCCTGGATCTGGTGTAAAAGCTTAAAGTACAATGATGCAATGGCATATACCACAAAGCATACAGGTGCAGTGTTTTTATGTCAGCTCACACTCATAATAACCAGTGTGGCGGATCACACTCACTATCAAGCCTGCTGAGAGGTGAGGAAATGAATGACCAGAGATGTTAAGAGATGTGGTTACCAAGCTGCCCGGGCTAGCTTTGAACTGTGATCCTTGGGTCTTAGCCTCCTGACTAGCTAGGATTATAGGTGTGAGCCAGTGGAGCCGGGCTCATGTCCATTTTGAATTTCCTAGATGCTTATGTCTACAGGGGGCTAATTTCTTCTTCCATCCCAAGTCAGGACCACCCACTGCCTGGTAGACTGGTCCTTTCAGGTATGTTATAATATACTTGGAAATAGTATATAATATATAGTGGGACTGGTGAGTAGATACTTTGTATAAAGATTAGCTGAGATAAAAGAAAAAGTAACCAGAGAAAACAAATTAAAAAAATGAAACCCAAACCAGCGATTAAAGGCCTCTATGATTCTCCCTAATTTCAGAGTTCTGCTGGGAAAGGCAGAGTGACAGCTGGGAGGGTGCGTTGTTTCTCTGGTTAAGACCCTCTTAATCACTCTTAGAGGTTGAGAGCTACATTCCTGCACCCCCCCCCCCCCAGCTTGACAGGAAGTACCACTTACTGGAGATCCTCTGGGCCCAGGTGCTCCTCTCTCTCCCTGGAAACAGAAAGGTCGAGGTTAGTGTTCAGAACACACAGATGTTGTCTCCATAGTCTCTATTCTAGACACCCACCATCCATCTCCCTGTGCAAACCAGGCCTTTTCTATAGGAAACAAATGTGGGATTGAAGCTAGACTCATGGGACCAATTAGTTGAACAGAACTGCTTAGGTCAAGTGTCTCTCTGCCAAGTTCCCCTAAGGCCATATATTTTTTAACCAGATCTGACAAGAGGAATACTTGTATGTTCAGGCAGCGTGTAAAATAACAGACACATTCTAAAGCAACGCACGCCAGCTTCTCTAAGAGATCGGAAAGCAGTTGGCTTGAAAAAGTGAAACAGAACTTCTGTTCTTGACTTCAAGCAGGGAAATGAGGGCCCAGGCAAAACCATCCTCCAAAACAAACATGGTAATGAGCAAAACCAGTGTAGCCAGCACAACAGAGAGGTCAGGGTTATATTCCTAGTAATGAGACTGGTGACTGTTTTTTCCTTTTTGCTTTCAGTGGTAGTTCCATAACATAAAAATAAACATAAAATCAAACATACAAATAAAAGAGTCCTGCTTTTTAGATTTTGGTCTCCTTTTGCTTTTTTTCTTTTTCTTTTTCTGTCAGTTGTGGGGCTTGAACTTGGGGCCTGGGCACTGTCCCTGACAGTGCCACTTCTGATTTTCTAGTAGTTAATTAGAGATAAACGTCTCACAGACTTGCCTGACCAGGCTGGCTCTGAACTGTCATCCTCAGATCTCAGCCCTCTGAGTAGTTAGGATTACAGATTACAGGTGTGAGCACTCAGCTTGTTCTCATTTTTTATTTTTATTATTTATTTATTTATTTATTTTTGCCGGTCGTGGAGCTTGAACTCAGGGTCTGGGCGCTGCCCCTCAGCTCTTCAGCTCAAGGCTAGTGCTCTACCACTTGAGCCACAGCGCCACTTCCAGCTTTTTCTACTTATGTGCTGAGGAATCAAACCCAGAGCCTCATGCATTTGAGGTAAGCACTCTACCACTGAGCCACCTTCCCTGCCCCCTCATTTTTTATTTTTTTAAAGTAAGTTATGAGTATACTTTATCCAAAGTGCTTTGGGACAGAAAGTGTTTCAGATTTTGGAGCTCAATGAATTTGAAATATTTGCAAAATTTTTCTGATTGAACATCCTTCATCTGAAAAGCTGCTTCAAACTCTCCCTCCCACTCCATTTGTTTTTCTTTGAGGCTGGCCTCAACCTCAAGATGTTTATACCTCAGCCTCTCATGGTCGGTTTTTTTGGCATGCACCACCACGACCAGAAAAATCCTGATGCTTAAAATCTATGATCAGCTTAAAAACCTTTTTGAGCATCATGTTAGTGCTCTAAACGTTTAGGGTTTTGGAGCACTGGGATTTTTGCTATCTGTGGTTCCATTCTGCCCTAGGTAATGTGTGGATGTAAACAGTTGCCTGTTGAGCTTGACCAGATGTCTGTGTAGTGGGTGGTAGCAGAGAGACCCTCAGCTATATGGACCCTGTTTACAAGGCTTACCTTTGAGCCATCTCTTCCTGGTGCCCCTGGCGGACCCTATGAGACACAAGGATCTGGTTTAACTGGAGGAAAAAGCACAGGACAAGAATCACCTTCTCCAACCACAGTAGCACACCTCTGCTAAGATACTGACCACAGGGCCCCTCCGGCCTTGCTTAATGTGGGACAGATCCGGAGACGGTCCCATGGGTCCCATGGAGCCCCGGGGGCCAGGCTGCCCGGGAGGGCCAGGCCTACCTGGAAAGCCCGGGCTCCCTTTGGGTCCTGGTGAGCCTGTAAGGAAAGAACACATCCCCTGAGAAGACTCTGGCTGACAGGTTAAGTCCACAGTTCATGCAACCGCTGCTCCCCAACCCTGTTTTTCTGTGCTAGGTCTTCAACTCAGGGCCTTAAACACTGTCCCTGAGCTGTTTTTGCTCAACGCTGGCATTCTAACACTTGAGCCAACAATTCCACTTCCAGCTTTTTAGTGGCTATGTAAAGAGTCTCACAGCCTTTTCTGCCCAGGCTGGCTTTGAACTGCAATCCTTGGATCTCAGATTCTTGAGTAGCTAGGATGACAGGTGTGAGCCACCGGCATCTGATTGGCTCTTGCCCCTTGCATTATGCCTTCTGCCTTCTGGCAGCTCCACTAACATGCCTCATGAGAATATTAATGCAACACCATCGTCTTCTCCATCTTCCTCTCCTTTCATGGACCAGTAGGCTCCTCAATCTCAAGTCAGAAACCTGAGATGCTTCCCACAGTCTGTCCTTGGTTCAGAGAGCAGCGCCACTCTCTCAACTACCAAAGTCAATGGATTCTGACCCAGCGTAGCTTCTGGTGTGGTTGCCAGGCTGTCATTCAGCATGGACTTGGGCTTAACTTCTATTTACAGGTGAGAGAAACCCTATAGGCTTTTAAGCTTCTCTAATACATCTTAATGGAGAGCAACCCAGCACTAGAAATAAGAAATGAGAATTTCTTCATGCGAGAGGGCCTGGTCCATTGTGAATCTCACTCATCCTCAGTTACCTCTCTGCTCCTGCAAGGACCCTGGACAGCTCAAACCATGTTAGACACCAGATAGCAGAATTGCAAGAAAAGCTAGCAAGTCATTTATGAAGAAAACAGCTGGGCCAGGTGATACGCGCCTGTAATGTTAGCACTCGGGAGATTGGTGCAAGAGGTTTGGGAGTTCAAGGTCAAGCCTGGGTTATGTAACAGAGACTTTCACAACTCACAGAAATCAAAACAAATACAAACAAGAGAGAGAGAGAAGAAAAGCAAGAAAAGCAAATCTTTCCTACTCTGACAGCTGTCTTGTTCTAGTGGTATGGTGTGGACATTCATCTGGAGATGAGATTCCTCTACAGAAGCAGAAACTCCTCTTACAGTGGGGGAGGAAATGCTATGCCAAGAAGAGATTCCTGTCATCTCCAAAATCAATCAAGATGCATTGTACTTATAAACAGACATGTGGAATGTCAGCCCCTTTGTACATCTACTTAAAGATAATACAATACAATTTAAAAAGTCAGAAGCTGCCTGTGTGTGGCATATGCTGGAGGAAGTCCATGCCTGTCTAAACAAGCTCAGGTCAAAGACATGAACAATCTAAAGCCCTTGGCCAGTTCTTCTCTGTCTAGACTGAGCACCAGGCCTCCTGTGCTTGAGAAAAGCCAGGAAGTATAAGGACATAGAAACCATACAGATCCATTTGGAAGAGTTCTGAGCCTACGTTCCTGCTTTATCCTCCCAGCTAAAACCTACCCATTCCCTTCTGGCTCGTGCAAACTCCATCATTTTTCTGTATCCGTACCAAGGCCCCAAACCCTATCCCCTACAAGCTAATGTAACCTCTCTCTTCTTCCAGGTCCCAGGGCAGAAAGCATGTGGTTCTTCATATTTGGCAGTATGTTCATATTCTTGACTCTATTTGCATTCACCACATGTGTCTTGCTAGGATGGTAGGAGGCCATTTGGAATACCTGGCACTGCTAAACTCTGGTAACCTGAGATAAGACAGTTATTTAGACTCACATAAGCACTGATATCATATTCTTTTGTGAAAAATTCTATTGATCTGTCTGTGCAGAGGCTCATAATAAAACATAAAACATCTTGTAGTTATTTTTAAGGTCTTATCGCATATTTCCTGGGTCTTTGCTCTTCTTGCCCAGGCTAGTCTGGACTGTGATCCTCCTATTTTAGGCCTCCTACAAAACTACTCTGTCAAGTGTACAGCACCATACCCAGTATTTTATTGATATGGGGCTCTCAATAGCAATTTGGGGTACCTGGTCTTAAACTGCGATTCTCTTGATGGTTGCCTCCTGAGCCACTGAGTTATTAAGCTTGGCCTACTGCCTACTTTTAAAGAAAAATAAATAGATAGGCAAAACTGTGAATATAAATATAAATATGTTACAATATCAAGGGAAGGGGAATGAGAACTGGGAAAAAGTGGAAACAAGGGGGTGGTCATGGGTTAGCAGAACTGAGTGATAACACTGTTCTATTTTTGTATCTGTTAACTTCTTTCTAGTATAAAGTTTAAAAATGCAGTTATTATTGTGTGTTTCTCTAGTTTAAAACAATCTTTAGACCCATTCCTACTTCCTCAGGACCCCTCCCGGCACAGGTGTGTGCCAGCCCCCAACACCTGTTTTACTCCTCACAGTAGAAGCCCAAGAACACCACCCAGCCCCGCCGTGCATGAGTTCTCAGCAGGCCCCTGCTGGCTCTCTCAGCCTCTGGGGGCCTTTCACACACTCACCAGGTGGGCCCTGGCCCCCAGGTAGGCCAGGAGGTCCTGGAAGGTAGGTGTTTGAGGCCAGTACCTTATCCCCAGTGACATACTTGCCGAGCTCAGCAGCATTGTTGGGGAGCAGGGCAATCTACAAAGAGAAGAGGGGAACAGTAAAGCTTTGAAGACAGATTACCCACTGTGAGGGAGCAACTGAAAGGTGGACTCTGACACTGGGCAGACTCCCGCTGAAACCTCAGGCCTCTTGTTTTCTGCCTATGGGATCTGGACTTCCTCATCATAAGACTGGTCTTTGAACACCTACAGGGCTGCTATAGGAGCAAATTCATGATATCTTTAATGTGCCTGGACCAGAGTCCAGCTTTTGTACATTAACACAGAGCAATGCTCTGGCTATATTTGTTCCTGGCTCTGATCCTAAGTGTTGCCTGACATTGTTACCTATGACTTCATAGCCTTCTAGATTTTCATCTTCATGTCCACAGAATGAGATGATCAGATCTGCACACTTCAAATGTCAGGAAAGCAAGCCTGGGGATGTGTCGCACACAAGGTTGTGCTTTCAAACTGTTCACTGTGCTCTTCCTAAGCATACCCTGGGCCTCCTTGTCAAAGCTAAAGACAAGCAAGGAAAGACTGATCTGGCCTCCTGTTTGCCCCCATGGGCACTCACATTCTGGCTGTGGGGGGACAGGAGTGAAGGTACCTGTGTGCTAAATGTGTTAGAGGTGGCCTTCTGCACAACCGAGGCCGAGGTGGGCTTGTGGGATGCAGAGGTTGTTATGCAAGAATTCAGAGGAGGGCTGTAGTACTTTCCATTTTCCCTCAACTTCCATCAGTGAAATTTGGAGGATCAGTGTTTCATGTTAGCCTTTATAATATAACTCTGGAGCCCACAATGAAGTACAGAGCTCAGTGGCATGAATTTGTGAGATGCAGCTTGAAAGGCACTTCATAATTAGTGCTGGGACCTGATGTTAATTATGTATTCAGTAGGTGTTTACAGAAAGGCAGGCACTGTTTCATCTTGAAAACCCTGTGCAGCAGGTTTGATGGAGACACAGAGAGATTAAGTCGCCTGGGGTCACATAGTTAGCAAACTTAACCAAATGTATTTCTAGAATCTGAGGATTGTAATTTGAAGCCAGCTCTGGCAGGAAAGTCCGTTAGACTCTTACCTCTAGTTTTCCACCAAAAAGCCAGAAGTGAAGGTGTAGTAGAGTGCTAGCGTCCAGAGAAAAAGTGAAAGGACAGTGCCCAGGCTCTGAGTTCAAGACTCAGTACTGGCATGAGACACATACACCAAACTCATATCAATTCATGATTCACCTGAGGATATCTGTGTGGCGTGCATTTATTCATTCTCTGTGGTTATGCTGGCATCCATGCGAAGCATTCTGCTTGGTCTCTCTATTGATCACAAGCTTGTTGGAATCACATGATCGTATGCTTTACTTGTGATTATATAACATATATATAGGTCTCCTGACAAAGCTGAATAGATCATCGTTAACCATGTGCAGATTCTGGAAAGCCACTTCCTCTCAGCGTATCTATTCTCTTACTTAATGGGTAGCTGTGGTTCTCATTAGGGCTGGCTACTAGCTTGCTGAGCATGGAGAAGAGATAATGCCTCAGGCTTACGTTTTGCCTCTTTTTTTTTATGGTTTTTTTTTTTTTTTTACGTTTTGCCTCTTAAGAGAACTGGTTGGCAATGTTACTCAGAGTCTACGTTCCTTGGCGATCTGCTCAGAGCCGTGAGTGGGAGCAATTACATAAATAAACCAGGAAGTTTGTGTGGAACAGTGGTAAGGGCCATCAAACAGACTGATTTCAGGTATGATAAACACTGGCCATCCAGGCTCAGGCCACCAGATCCCTCATGAGGCCCTTACTCCCGGCACAACGATGTTACCACAGACCTGGTGCCCATTCCTGGGTGGATCTTTCCATCCAGGGAGCCAGGTCTCACTCTGGGTGGCCTGAGGTTACCAAAGGTTACCCTTCGTGGGCCAGACCTTAATTTTTTATGTGTAATAAAGCTATGCACAAACTCACCATTTTAAAAAAGTTTAGAGAGGAAGTTCTCTCTTAAAAAAGAAAAAAGAAGAAGTTCTCTGTCAATGAAGCACAGATAAAATGGTAGCCATCCTAGGGTAACAGAGAACGGGAGTGTATGTTCTACCAGAGTTCACAATCATGCTGGGCATGGTATATGACATGTAATTCCAGTGCTCAGGAATTCCAGCAGAGGCAGGAAAATCATGAGTTTGAGGCTTGATTTGGATACAGATTGAGTTCAAGGTCAGCTTGACTTATAAAGAAAGACTCTGTCTCAAAGAAAATCCCCCACAAAATAAGCAAGGATGGAAGAGGAAAACTGGGAAAAAGTTAAGGAAGAGGTGACATTATCCGCCCCCCCCAAAAGAAATGTAATAATTACCAGACTTATGAAATAACAGCCCCTCTGTACAACACCTTAATGATAACAATAAAATTGTCATAAAAAACAAAACATAATAGTAGCATCTCTATCCTCTCAATAGTTCTACCGCGTGTTCCCTCCTAGAATCTATGTAAGATATGAACTTCCTTAGGGGATGTGTGTGTGTTGTGTCGTGTCACCTTTTGGACTCTCAGATCTGGAGTAGGGAAGCAGCCTGTATCCACTCAGCTGACACACAGCGATGCTCAGTGTGGATGCCCCCGCCCTTCACTCCGGCCAGACCCTCCTTCCCTACACTGCACTGCTCCGCCAGACTCCCGGTACCTTCTGCTTCAGCTGCAGCACCGTCTGCTTCATCTGGTGGAACTCCTTACAGGTGGCACAGCACGTCCCGGCCTTCACGGCATTCTCGGACTTCTCCTCGTGCCCTGGGGAGTGAGGCAGGATGAGGAAGGGCCCTGCATGGTGGGGTGGGGTGGGCACAGAGCCGCTGAAGTGGATGCAGAGGATTTCACAGTTCTGGGGTCTCAGCCGGCAGGCCCCAACTCAGGGGAGAGGGAGGCCCTGCTACCCTTTGGGCAGCTGTTCCTCGTTAGACATCCCAAATGCATGAAAATGTGGACCAGGGCTCTTTTATCAATGCCTTTCACGTCTGAAAACATGGCGCCTTCATCGGTGCCTTTCAGGACACACGCTCTATAAATCTGCTTTATTGCTCGCAGGCCAGCAATATCCTTGAGCTTAAGTAACGGAACTCACAAAGTGAATCTTCATTGCTTCTGACAATTCACATCTTCATGGCAGTTGGGCTGGGTTGGGTGCGACCCGAAAAGGAGAGACAAAAAGAAGACTTTGCAGAAGAGCAGAGGAGGAGAGACAGCCTAGCCAGAAAGCAGGTAGAGGGGTTGGAGGGGTCATTGCCCAGTGCTTTCCATTCCAATGGTTAATGACTAGCCCATGAGAAATGAATGGCATTCAACTACCTATAGGTCATCAACAAACCTAGTCATGCTGTACTTTGGGTCAGCTGCTCCCATAGGAACTCACATTCTGTGTACACACAACTTAAGTTCACCAAAGCTTCCATCCTTCAGCCCTAAGTATCCATTTTATGTGATCCCACCCATTTGTCTGCCCTACCTTCCATCTAGAATTCTCTCATCCATCTCCCCAACCATTTATTCATCCATCCATCCATCCATCCATGCATCCACCCACCAACTCATCCATCCATCCATCTTTCCTAACCTCCTTTCCCTTCTACCCATCTATTCAGCATCTGCTATTTTGCCTGTGCAAAGTGTGTTAAATAAAAGAAATATGAGTCAGGTGCCGGTGGCTCATACCTGTAACCCGAGAAGTCTCTAGCTACTCGGGAGGCTGAGATATGAGGATTATAGTTCAAAGACAGCTGGGGTGAAAATGTCCTGTGAAACTCTTATCTCCAATTAACACTCAAAAACTGTAAGTGGCACTGTGGGTCAAAGTGGCAGAGAGCTAGCCTTGAGCAAAAGAGCTCAGGGACAGCTCCCGGACCCCACGACTGACAAAAAACACACTGCAAACAACAAACATAATGAAACCTAGTTCATAATTCATACTTGACCTTGTTTGGAAGCTAGTCCTGTTGGCGGAAATGGGAGGTCATGTACCAAAGTTTACATTTGTATTTTAACATAACTACTTGAAATTTTCCTAGTGTTGGTGTCACTGGGCAATGTGACAATTTTATGACCGGATAAACCTCACTGGTAGGTTCTAGACTTCATCTGGATCATAGAATTTTAGAGCTGGCCCATCTCTGTGCCATTGTCTCTAATAGAAAAGGAAAGCAAGATCCAGACAAGGAAGTAACTTGAGTGTTGTCATGGAACGGCCCGGGCTGCATTCTGTTCCTTTGTACAATGATCAAATGCTGAAACATCAAGATTAAACATCATCCAAAAGACTTGACGTCCCACAGATGCAGAAGCACACAATGCAGATGCTGGTAGACTTAGAGAATCAGGATTTTAATCTTAGTGCTGTCACTCAGTACCTTTCAGACTGCGCAAACCACATCTCTGTGTGCATCTGTGCCTTGGATGATAAGATGGTACTAGCACTTGTAACTTTCACCTATGATGAATCAATGAAAGAAGACGCAAAGGCCCCACAAAGGTTCCCTCTCCCAGTGCATATGCTCCCAATATAAGGTACTCATTAATCCTAATGCTTATCATTTACCTCAAAAAATGAGTGCTACAAGGCAGGCCACTTGATATCATTCTGTGACTACAGCTCTGAGAGGGATGAAGATCAACACTCTACCTTGTTTGTGTGTGAAGTTTGTGGAATACACACTGATGAAGGTCTCATGGATGGTATGTTAATGGTTCACTTAGAAATCAAGATGGGATCTCTCCTGTGTGTTTTTAGTCCTCTTAATTAATGGTGTGAACGTGCATCTCCGGGGAGAGTACAGTGAGGTAGCATTTAACAATATCCTTCCAGCGTGTTGCAATGTTAAAGATGCAATGTTCTCAACTGGCCACGAGGGGGCAGAGAGCTCATATTTTTACTGAAATTTAGCAGGCTATACATAGGAAGCATCAGAAATGTTAACACTCAGCCCATCATGGTAGCAAGACCAAATGAACATAGAAAAACGAAAGAATGTTCCCAACATATTTCATGTGGGTGGTGTTACGAATGAACAAAAACCATGTTTGTTTTGAAAGGTCGGTTGTGCAGATCTGTGCTCTAGATTTCGTGGAAGTGCACAGCCATGCCAGATTACGATCCTCTGGGGGCTCTTAAAAATGCTGGGAAATCTATTGCACCCCATCCATCTCAGGGTGGCCGTGCGGCAACAGGATCTGCATGTTCGAGAGCTCCCCAGGTGACTGAAAGGTTGAGAGTCATGCGTCTATGACTTATCAGAGGTTGAAAGTGAGATTGAACACCTGGCTGTCTCTCCGACTTTGAACTGGCGTGAACGGTGCCAGGGGTCATGGCCGTGTTATCGGAAAAGAAACAAAAGTTGAAGAATAAAAGACGGGTACGGTAATGACTGCGGAGCCAGCATCTCCTTCACGCATCTCTCCATGAGCACTGAGCAGACTCCCTGGGGTGCTGAAACTGGCTCCAGCTCCATGTTTTCCAAACCCCAAATCAAAGAGACTGAAACGCCTATTAGCCAGATGGCTTGTGTCACTGAACCCAGGAATCTCCAGCTCTCCATCTTCAGAAGTCTTGTGGGGGCCATGCCCCCTCTACTCTGTCTTTGCTTTAAAAAAAAACCAAACCCTCCTACCTTGTAGACATTAGACAATGCAAAGTTAAAAACGAGAAGATAGAAGGGGAGATGACATGAGTTTGTATTCGATCATCATTCATATCCCCCCTTCCTGCCCCCAACCACGATCATGTGAACTACTGGGGTTATTAATTAGGACAAACCTCTTAGCTGCCTCACATGCTCAGATGTGCAGTTACTCACCTTTTAGATACTGTAAGGAACATTTTCTGCTTGGAACCCATTGAAGTTGGTCGTATTTTCAAGTCTCAGTACTGACGGCACAAAGAAATGAGAACTGTGCAGAGTGCCCAAGGCTGGCAGGGGCTTCGATTAATTACACCAAATTTGGAAGCAATTTTAAGAGGCTGTGAGGGTCTTCTGAGTTCATAGGTGTCAACCCTCCAATCTACAGGTAGGAAAACAGAGCCCCAGAGATCTGACCAAGGTCACAGAGCTAGTGAGTCCTACAGCAGGCCTGGTTTCCAGCTCTCCTGACTCCCAAGAACATCCCACAGCATCACAGCTGTCAAAGAAACGACTTCAAAGTGCTTCCTCCCTGGCCAAACCATCAGAGCTAGTCTCCCCTGCTCAGTGGCCCAACCACGTGAGACAGGATGCGAAGGCTGTGTGTACAATGCAGCAGTCCCTCCTCAGAACTGTGTGTGAGTGACTCTTCTTATGCTTTGTATATATTTGATTGTTTTGTTTTCATTTGGAGTGCCAGTCCTGGGGCTTGAACTCAGGGCCTGGGTGCAGTCCCTGAGCTTCTTTTGCTCAAGGCTAGTGCTCTATCACTTGAGCCACAGTTCCATTTCCAGCGTTTTTATAGTTAATTGGAGATAAGGGTCTCACGGACTTTCCTACCCAGGTTGGCTTCAAACCATGGTCCTCAGATCTCAGCTTACTGAGTTGCTAGGACTATAGATGTGAACCACTGGCACTAGCTCCGTGTTTGTTATACTTTTGATATGGTCTCACTCTATAGCTTAGCCTGGCTTCAAATTCATGACCCTCCTGTCTTCAGCCTCCCCAGTGATGGGATTATAGGTATGTACCTCACTTGGCTATAAAGTTTCCTAAGAAATAATTTTTCATACTGGGCATGCTAGTATTTCTGAGGAGCTCACGTTCAGGGCCAGCTTGGATTCTAGAATGAGATCCTGTCTCAAGGGGGTTGGGGTGAAAGAATGGAGCTTTTAAAAGAAAAAAAAAAGCTCAGCTGCAATTTGTAGCCAACTTTTTTTAAAAAAGCAATCTCTCTTTTAGTCTACTTGAGCTGCAAATCCTTCAAAGAATGGGTCTGGTGACGTGCACATCTCCAAACTTGTGTGCACAGGATGGTTAAGAGAGAAACTCATAAGCACCTCACAGGCCCCCAAAGTCCTGTGGGGCCTAATGGAGAGAAACGCTGCAACACAAATGGCCGAGATTTAACTTCCCTCACAGAGGGTCAGGGAATTGGTGAGTGTCTTTCCGCAAGGCAGATGCTCTCCCTGCACTCTCGCTCGGAGCCATCCTTTGGGTACCACATGCAGCAGGGTGACCGTATAAGCTGCTGGACTGGAGATTGGAGAGGAAAGCGTTGGAGAAGCTGGATATCACTGCAGTGGGTGGAGGGAACCAGAAACCAAAGAACAAGAAGACTCAGCATCTAAGCTTTGCTGCTAGTCTCTGTCAGCAACCTCTCTGGTTGTTGCTAGTGATGGTCTGTTTCCCTGCAGCCCATTCTCCTTGACCAGGTAGAGAGTGCAGGTGGGAGGGGTCAGGTCCCACGTGTTACGGATCCTCAACACACTCATTCCTGCCTTGATACTTGGTAGAGTGGGCCGTTGCAGTTTCTGATGGCTCTGCTCTGATCAGGGCCACTCCTGACTTCCTGGATATTAGGCAAAAGAGGATTCGCCTGCACCTAAACTTGAGGCAAAGATATAAATGCTTTCACCAGATTGGACAGCCCACAGCCCACCAAGCCCAGGAGCTGGAAATCTAGTTTCAATGTGAAAAATCAGAAAGCTCCTTTCTGGTGGCTAATTCTCAAGTACTCACACACACGAACAGATGAGTAGCTTAAAAAAACTGTGTCCACTCTCCCCCTCCTTTCCCCCTCTCCCCACCATGAGATTCTTTTTTTCAATAAAGGCTGTAATCTAAGAGGTAAATTACACATTGCTGCCTCCTCCCACCTTCTCTGCCTCTGAGCAAAAGGCAGTTATTTTACTTTTGAATAACAAACATCTGTGGACATCATTTTGGTCTCTCTCAACCAAGCTCTGCCTCAAAGTCTGCTGTTGCTTGTTCTATGATCGCTTGGGGCGGGGGAGAGGAGGGGGCAAGCTCCCCTATGTTCCAGGCTCTCAAAAGGGTCCCAGCCCCAGTCTTCTAGCTTATGCAATGAACCTCAACGACCCAGTCCCCAAGCTGGCTCTAAATAGGTATTGTACATTCACTTCTAACACATGACACTTCCTCATGACTCAACTCAACATTGCTTTGTAGTTTTTCCTTCGGAGGCGGCTGGGGCCCAGCTGTCTGCTGCTATCTCTTTTCCCTCTTTGAAGCTCCCCTGAGCGCTCAGATTGGCTTCTTCATCTCCCTGCATTGCTAGGGAGCTGGGATTTGACCTGAAAGACTATTCCCTTCTAAAAAAACTAGCCCTGGCTCCCTTCCGCTGTCATGACCGTGTTCTAGTTATAGTCTCTTCCCAAGAGGAAGAGATGAGCAAAGCCTGGATGACAGAGCTCAGCCCGTAGCACCTTCCTGCCTACATTGGTGGGTAGAGGAGCTAGGCCCATGGCAGCACAAGACCTGGCCTCTGGCCCTTTAAGAGACTAAGGACTTTCGATCTAGGTAATTTGCCTGGTTCACTTTGGTCAGATTATTTGGCTCAGTCCAACAGGAAGACTTAGCGACATTATGGCCTATAGACTGAAATCTTGAATTTTTAATGGCTAGCAGGCACTGCTAACTTGGCAGAGAGATCAGAGTTACTTAATGAGTGACTGTTGTGACAGTTCGCTTACTAAGGCCTTCTCTGAAGCACAGACATAGGTTTGGGGGCGTCTTTTCCTTTTCTTCTCCCCTGCTCCCTTACCATTCTTCTCCATCTCATTTGTTCTTTTTAACTCCACACTCTGAGAAGGAACCTGGCACTCGGGCTGATCATGTGCCTCGGTGACCAGACATCTCAGTGGGATCCAGGGGACATGAGGTGGCCCAGCTGCTCAAGGCTGTGCCGAAACTCTAGCTGTTAGGCCAATCCCTATGGACTGTGGGCTGATGCTTTTCACAAAATACAAAATGAACTGCTTGAGAAATCAGGACATGTAACACCAGCACACAGTTTCTGGGTTGAACTAAATTTCCTCTGTCACATTGATATAAAAATTCACAAGCACTCTTCATGTTTTTGAAAAAAAATCTAATCATGAGTCGAATAACAAACGGCTCATGGACAGGGCCTAGGCATAAGGCTGCACTTTTGAGTAGCACCCATACAGATTGGTACCTTATGTGGAAAATGGTTTGTGCTTTTATTTCAGCACATTTCCTTTGAGAGGACATGATCTTTCTGCCCTCTCCCCGGCTCACCTACATTACGCTTAATATATAATCAAGCTTTGCTGATTTCCCATGAGCCTCCTGCCTTCTTCTAACTCTGGATGATAAATCGACATTGCATCCTACCACCTTTCCTTAGAAGCATTTGAACTTTATCCTTTTACCCCAGGTCCCTCCTACCACTTGTGTAAGTGTCCCTTCCTTCCTGCTCATGGGGATCCCCAATGGCTATAGGTAATAATAATATGCATGTTATGTATATATTATAATACAGGCAAATTATGTAAAATAGGATATATGACATATAAAACACTAAAATGTTACAGAAAATATAATTATGTAATATGAACCATATGTTGTACATATTTATATTTTAATGCCATGATAGATACATACTTGAGACCCTTATAGGTTATAGTACATAAATAATATACATTAGATACCATAATACATATTACATGAAATAACAGGCATTATGGTATTATATTTATACAACATATAGGGTAAAAAGGTATAGACAAGTATATATAAAGATAGATAAAAAGGTAAAATTGTGTCCAAATCTGATAACGTATAAAAATGGTCTGTAACTGTCACTCACCGGTGTCGTTGGGGTATTTGTCTCCCCTGGTGCACGTCTTCCCGTCGTCCTCCAGGATGAAGCCCTCCCGGCACTCACAGCGGTAGCTGCCCACGGTGTTGGTGCAGATGTGAGCACAGAGTGTCTGGTTGCTGGTGGCACACTCATCGATATCTGGTTTGAATCAAAGGGAGAGAACACGCAGCTTAGAGAAGCCACTTCAACACAACTGATGACACGGGGCGGGCCCGGGCATGGCCCTTCTGTTGATAACGTAGATGATGCCTAGCCTGATGCTGACCAGAGACATCTGAAACAAAGCCAGTCCAGCTGTGCAAGCAGCCCTGGGGACTGTGCTATCCTCATCACACACCCAGGCTGGACTCTGCTCAGGGCTACCTCCTGTCACATGGCTTGGTGCAGGCCTGGCTAGAAATAGAGACCCACCTGGAACACAAGGACCATGAAGCCTGCCCTAAAAGCTCCTCAGAAGGGGATGTGAGAAAGCCAAGGGCAACACCCTTCAAGAATCAGATAGTAGATAAGTAACCTCTCACAAGTAGCTTAGTGGCCTGAGGCTTAAGTTCCCCTTCATACTTGGGGGTTCCGGAAAGCATGATGGTGACCCAGAGGTCGTTCGGGAATGGCCTCTTCCCACTTAGGAGACATCCTCGCTACTTCTGATGAAAGAAAAGAGCCACAGTGAGTCTGGGTTTCCCCAGGAAGCTTCTGCCTCACAATGACCCAAGCAGACCCCTGGGTGAGCTGTGGAAATGAGTCATCATAGCATCAAACAAGAGTCTGTGCCAACTGTGTGGCTCATGGGCTGGCTCCCTGCGGTGGCATGGGGTGAAAACAAGAGCCTTTCCCACCATGGAGAGCGGGGAGGCCTGATTCCGTTTCCTGCTCACCGGCTGGAGACACAGGGCAGCAGTGGGTGGGAAGCAGGACCCAGCCGCAGGCCATGCACATGTGGTGGGCAGATAGCGCCCCGCCCTGAACGTTAGGAGCACAATGGCATGGAAGCTGCTCTCTGGACGAGCTGCAGAGGACTCAGCTCTGGTAGGCCATGTGTGTGCCAAGGGGAGGAGCATGCTCATGTCACATGGGCTCCCTTCCCGGACAGCACAGGCTACGTCCTCTGTAGTGGGTGAGTCCAGCAGGACCCTCCCACAGGAGGAGTCTCAGGCTGAATGCCTTTTCCTCCAGAAGGAGAGGACATGATTTTTAGTTCAATGTAAGGTGCACAGATCCCCCAGATGCAAAGATCAGGGTAAGGTAGATACCAGAAACTGAAATTCAAGCCCTGTTGCCTAGGACAAGGCCATCTGGAGTGGCTTGGGCCGTCAGAGGGAAGAGTGCGTCCACTCCATTCTCCTTCCTTGGTTAGTGAGAGCACCATGCCCAGACGTGGCAGGGGGAAAACAGGCTTCTAATGGGGTCTCCTGAGAGCCCCTGCTGGGGAGAGGAGAAGGACGTCTAACAACTGGTTGTGGCCCACTCGGGAGCCTCTGCCAGTCCCAGTTCATCTTCCACCTGATTCTGCAACTTCACTGGACAACTTCATTGGAAGTACTGGTGAAAACAAATGCCCATTTCCAGACACAGTCCTTGGAGTTGTGACTCACCAGGTCTGGAGAGAAGGCCAAGGACCTATTTATTTTGAAAGCAAACAAGGACAGGTTGCCTATGGAGTGAGTGCACTCTGAAACATGGGGTTCTCGGGGGACAACAGGTCCTCCACTTGCCTCCGGAACTCACAGAGCGCATGGTGGGAAAACCTCGTGGCTGGGAAAGAAAGGACGGAGTGGGTGGCTATTGGGGGTAGCTGGGCTGTTTGCTCAGCTGCAGCCCAGGTGGCTGGCTCCACTTCCCTCCGACTTTCTTACAACCTGCCTGCTACATGGACACGTTCCTTTTCCTAGCTGTCTTCTAAGAGCACGTCTTATTTTGTTGTTTTTATGCCTGATCACTTATATTCTGCTTCATACGATCCTAGTAACACTTGACATTGTTCCTTTTCTCCAGCTCTTGTCTCGCGTTGAGTTAGGATATTATCAGCTCCCTTAGGGAGCCCGGGGACATAGTTGGGTTTTTTGATCATCAGGATGAATGGTAGTGAACAATATGGAGGGTAAGTCCAAATCCAACTCCATCCTTCTGAGGATTTAAGGGAGAGGAATCAAAGATCAGAGTGACATTTCTGAGCCAGTCCTGCTCATGAAGAAACATGCCACGGAGATGACACCATCTCACGAGGCATGTCCCTAAGTGTCGGCATCCAACATGCATCCTAACATACCCAGGCAATATGGCTTCTCTCGCTTCCGGTGTCTCTCCCGGTCATATCGGTATCCTGGGTAACAAGTACACAGCACTCGGCCGAAGTTGTCTGTGCACTGCTGCTCGCAGGGGGCTTGGGCACAGACATCATAATCTGAAAAAGAAAAGTGCAATCACGTGAGCCACAGGAGGAGGAGGGGAGTAACACTCTCTGCTCTTCTAGGAGTTGTATTATTATTAATTATTATCTTGAAGTAATTATGCAAAGGGATTTCCATTCAACCTGGGAGTATAATGCATCTTGAGCCATGCCACCCTCCCGTCATTCTCGTCCAAACCCACCCACCTCCCCAGTTTCCTTAATTTAATAAAATACTCATTGATGATTAGGACTGCATTCCCCTCTTCTTCCCCTTGGTCTCACCTTGCCCCCACCTTGAGTTCTGGTTTCCTGGTAGTCATTTTGTTATATTACAGATTAACTGTTCAAAGGAGCTACACCAGTGGAATTCTCCCCTGCATAGACCAGGCTTGGTTAACACATTTGTGGATAGCTGCATAGGACCCTGAATATGTGTACCTATAGATTTATAAATTAGATCTCACTTCCACATATGAGAGAAGACATGCATCCTTCATCTCTCTGGGCCTGACTTACTTCACATAATTTTTTTCCAGGTCCATCTATTTCTCTGCAATAGAGAGTTCTGTAGTGGATAACTTAGTATGCAGTTAAAAGCAATGGTCAAAAGCAAACGTTACTGTGCTTTCTCTTCTGGGTCCTTGGGTCTTCATTGTTATTCAGAGAACTGATGCTTTAGCTGGTGACCAGCTGTCCCGAATTCTCTTGGGGCTTATTTTGTCTCCCACTCCCTGCCAACTGACACAGAGACAGAGAATTCCTTCCAGAAGAATCTACAGAAAGGCCAGCCCTGGTGATGGGTATTTGTGAGAGGAAGGGCCAGAAGTCGAGCAAGAAGAGAAGAGGGGAAGAGGGGAAGGGTAAGAAATGCAAGTAGGCCAGGTTTGGTAGTGCAGGTCTACTCTCCGAGAGACTTGGATAGGTGGTAGGAGCACTGTGGATTGAGTCTGGTCTAGGCAAAGATAGTGTGAGACTATCTGAGAAACAAACTAAAGACAAAAAGAACTGGGAACATAGCTCAAGTGGTAGGTAGTCTCCTCAGTGAATGCACGGCCCCTTCAGTACTAAAAAATAAAACATGAGAGAGTTCTCAGGGGCAGTGCTTGTCTAAGCGAGTGCCGAAGGTATGCGCTTGCAAAGCTCGTGCAAATTGGGGTGCATGCTCCTCTACTCATAAAGAATTAGAGCATCTGCTCCTCTGGGTTTTTATGAGCTGCTATTTCATGAGTTTCTGTCGGGACTTTGGCTCTAAGTCAGGAGCTCAGGCTCAGCATCTGCTCCCAGCGCAGACCCAGCGCGTCATCAATCACAGCACTATCTCCCCGGGTGCTGACGGGGACACTCTTCCTGGCCACAGGGGGGGCCTGGATCCGCCGTGAAGGTGAGTAGGCAGGGTTGGCTTGACAAGGATCCGCCACTCCCACGTAACTCTGGAGAGCTGTCCTGGTTGCGGCGCCTTCCCACAGGCATAACTCCCGGCCTGCTTTCCTGCATGAGTTCTCACCAACCCTGACACAAGCTGCCTCAGCCTGAATGGGTTTTCCCCAAAGAAACTTCACCTCTAGGCAACCCAAGTTGGGAATGCAGAAGGTCTTAGCGTGACTGGAGACGAGCTGTCCACGCATGGCTGCTACTGGGCAGCCGCCAGAGGAGGAAGAGAAAGGTGGAGAGGAGAGAGGCAGAGAGGCTGTCTAAAGAACTGCGTTGAGGCTTGCTTTGAGCTTCCCACAACCCCTGTGCATCAAATCCTTGTCTGCCTCCACATCTGTGGGTGTTTTCATGCCGCATCTCCAGATGGCCAGAACGCATTGCTTCTTTCTTTTAAGCTCTCCCTGTTGATTGCCAGCCTTGGAAGAGGCACATTGAGCTTTTGCTTTCCTTCCTTCCTTCCTTCCTTCCTTCCTTCCTTCCTTCCTTCCTTCCTTCCTTCCTTCCTTCCTTCCTTCCTCTCTCCTTCCCTCCCTATCTCCTTCCCTACCTCCCTCCTTCCCTATCTCCCTCCTTCCCTCCTCCCTCTCTCTTTCTTTCTCTCTCTCTTTCTTTTTCTCTCTTTCTTTCCTTTCTTTCTTTCTTCCTTTCTTCCTTTCTTCCTTTCTTCCTTTCTTCCTTTCTTCCTTTCTTCCTTTCTTCCTTTCTTCCTTTCTTTCTTTCTTTCTTTTTCTTTCTTTCTTTCCAGTCTTGGGTTTGAACTCAGGGCCTGGGAGTTGTCCCTAAGCTTTTTATTCAAGGCTAGCACAGTACCACTTGAGTCACAGCTCCATTTCCAGCTTTTTTTTTTTCTCACATAAGAGTCTCACAGACTTTCCTGCCAGGGTTTGCTTCAAACTGCTATCCCCACTGATCTCAACCTCCTGCGTAGCTAGGATCACAGGTGTGAACCACCAGTGCCCAGCTCACATTTAGCTTTTCCATTGCCTTACCCACTGCTGCCCACTCAACCCTGGAGTTCTCCACTTCCCAGGACTTTCATGGCCAAAAGTTTCATTGACATTTTGTTGGATAACTCTCCAGTGTTCACATTATAGTGATGATATGAAAGTTTTCTGCTGAGCCCTGAAGTCTGATGACCTGAGGCATTAGGAGAGTCTCAGGTACGTTGGCAGTGCCAGATTGAGCCTTTCTATTGATTTCAAACCTGTTCTCCATCCCTTCCCTCAGATACTTTGTGACTTGAGACTTTAGAAACCACATTTCTTCCTTGACAGCTATTTATCATTGCTGATAAATGATATTGGGTTGCAGAAGGGAAACAGCCAGAAAGACAGAGAGACAGGAAGACAGACAGACAGACAGACAGACAGACACACACACACACACACACACACACACACACACACACGAAGAGGAAAGAGGAATATGGACCTCTCTGCTTACTGCCGGTGCTCCCCAAGACTCATTTCATTCTTCCCCCTTTCTAGCCCTCTAGTAGCTTATTTGGTAGAAGCAGTTTGTAGCTTGCCCTACAATTGCAGAATTGGCCTCATTACATCCCATTTCTGAGCTATGAGCACCAGGCAATGGGTACAACCTCATGAAGATAAGGCTCCCAGACCCCTACTTGAGAGAAAGAGCACCTGCCACTCATGCCTCGGAGGTTTGGGGCGCATCCAACGGCACCTCCTCTAAGCCTGATCGGCCACCATCTCTGCTTGCCTAGCCTTGGGGTGGTAGCGCTGCCGCACTTATATCTCTGTGGTGCTGTTGCTCCTTTGCCTTTTCAGGTCCCGGTGTCTAGCCAGCAGTGCACCCTAGTAAACGTGCTCTGCAATGCTGTTTTAGAGTTTGGAGCATTTCAGATTCCTAGATTATAGATGCTCGACTGATAAATCTATGAAAACATTCACAAATCCCCAAAATACTGAAATAGGAATCATTTCTGGCCCATGTAATTGTAACCCCTCTGTATAGTATGTTCTCAAATAAAAAAAAAAAAGGAATCATTTCTGATCTCAAGCATTTTGGAAAAGAGATAATGAACCATAGCGTGGTGGTACAGGCCAGTAATTTTTGACTCATGGGAGGTAAAGCCGGAAGGATCTAGGGATTAAGGCCAGCTTGGATTGTATAGTGTGACATTGTCTCACAAAAATCAGAGAGAGAGACAGAGTGAGAGAAAAAAGGAGGAGGAGAAGGAGAAAGAGAAGAAGAGGAGGAAGAGGAAGAGGAGGAGGAAGAAGAGGAAGAGGTGAAAGAGGGTGAGGGGTAAGGAAAGAAAGAGCCTCAACCTAAACTAAATAAGTCTTAAGTATTCACTGGTTACTTCTGCATTTGATGTCTGGTATTATCTCTTGAGATTTTCCCAATTAGAGGATCCCTCTATGTGTTCCTGCAACTTCACAAGCCCCAGTTGGCTTTTCCTTTGTCCTTTGTCACAGCCGTGCCGTCTCGCTACTGATTCTTCCTTCCATCCACGCTTTCACCTCCAGCCATGCCCAGCCAGCTCCTCTACCCTTACTCTTAGCACCTCGTTACTGGTGGCATCCTAGCCAGTTTTCAAGGGCCACTGTCAGTGCCACGCCTGCCCTACCTCCTCAACACCGTCTACTCAATCCTGTCAACACGCTGGCTCTCTAGCTCACATACGAGTGCCCACCCCCCAACTTGGTCATTCTCTCTGTGATCTCAGATCCTCCTCCTCCTTCTCTCTCCCCCCCTCCTCTCCCCTTCCTCCTCTTCCTCCTCCTCTGGGTTCAAACCCTGGGCTCACAGCCTCCCACCTCAACCTCTCAAGTGCTAAGATTATAGAGCATATCATCATGCCTTGCTGATCTCAGGTTTGTTGAGCCTTGATTTCCTCACAACAACAAGCCTGGAACCAGTGGCTCCTGCCTGTAATCCTAGCTACTCAGGAGGCTGAGATCTGAGGATCACAGTTCAAAGCCAGCCCAGGCAGGAAAGTCTGTGAGACTCTTATCTCCAGGAAGCCACTAGAAAACTGGAGGTGGTGCTGTGGCTTAATGGTAGAGTGCTAGCCTTGAGCTGAAGAGCTGAGGGATGGCACCCAGGCCCAGAGTTCAAGCCCCATGAGCAACAAAAAAAGAACAACAATAGTGTCTGCATTGTTTTTAAAATGAAGATAAAATTGGAAAGTGCATTAAACACAGTGCCCGAAGCCCGGGAAGAGCTTCCTCTGCTCTGCTTCTTCTGCTACAGGTGCTCATGATTGGCTGGCTACCTGTCAGAGACTAAGTCCCCTGGATAACGAGAGCAAGCCCCTCCACACAGCTTGTGCTCAACCCCTCTGTTAGCGCACACTGACTGTACACAATTAGGAGCTTCATACGGCATTCGCATGCATGCATATAACATTCTTTCGTCATATCTGCACCCTGTTACCCTCTCTCCACCCTCTTTTCCTTTTGTCCCTGGCACTCATTTTCTTCCCAGAACAGTCACCTTAATTTTCATGTTTTTCTTTTTTCTTAATTGTAATACATTTAATTTTGAATTTTTTATTATTAAGTAGTTGCACAAAGAGGTTTCAATTCCGTAAGTCAGGCTATGAGTACAGCGCATCTTGATTAATGTTACCCTTCCATCATTCTCCCTCATTTCTCCCCCTCCCTCTTATCCTCAAGTTACACAGTTCAATTTTTATGTAATGTACATTGAATATAATCAGGTATCTTTCTAAAAAAAAAACAACATCTTGTAAATGAAAGAAAATGGTATATTTTTTCCTTTTGAGTCTGGCTTACGTTGCTAACATGATGATCTCAAATAGTCTACAGGATTTGGTTCTTCTTGATGGCTAAATAATACTATAGTGGAGTATTATATACGTGTGTATACACACACACACACACACACACACACACATTTTCTTTATCTGTTCATCTGTTTTATGGGCATCTTGGCTGCTTCTACAACTTGCCTCTTGTGAATACTGATGCAGCAAACAAAAGTCCAAAATAGGAACCCTTATAGAGTTTTGGTGGGAATGTAAATTAGTCTAGCCATTACAGATCTTAGTATAAATTTCCTCACAAAGGTAGAACTAGAACTATCAGAGGTTATAACTACACTGGGGATTTTCTATATGTATATAAATGCAAATATATTTTTCCCGGTTATAAGCCAGGAAAACCATTAGAGGTCTCTGCACCCCACGTCCATCAATTCTTAACTACTTAGCTGGATAAATCAGATCATCCTGTCACCTGGCCAAACAGCAGAGATTAGAAATCTTTTTCCAGAAATGAGCCAAATCATCTGTTGCAACTACTCAATTCCATTATTGTCATGAAAAAGAAGGCAGAAACAATACTAAGCCTATGAGCACGACTGTGTTTAATCAGACTTCATTTCCTGAATCAGGTGATGGGCCAGGTTTGGCCCTCAGGTTTGAGCAGCCACGCTTTGCCTCCCCAGTAGCTGGAATTACAGGCATGAGCCACCTCACTCAGCCATGGCAAAATTGCTTTAAAGATCCATATGACCTCAGTATCAACATCTGCCTGTGAAAATTAAGGATCAGCAAGGAACTTTCCTGAGGTCATATTAAATAGAATATGGAAGCATAATACAATCTAAGCTTTTCTGGTTCCCGAGGACCCAGTTCCTATTCCTCACTCTGAAGTGTTCACCGGGAGATGGGTCCATACACCAATACTATGCTAAGCAATATTTGATGATGGTCATGAAAAGGGACAAAAAGTTCAACACACAGCAAACAGGTCCAGCCATCAGCCAGGAGAGAGCTGGCCTACAATCAAGCCATGAAATGCTAACTAGGTAATTTAAAGCTTATTAAGCATAAAGCAGAAGTGTAAAAAAGGCTTGATGTGTGTGAATGAATCATGTAATGGTTTTGACAGAATGTATTATATCTAATGAATCAGCATGTGAAAAATATAATGTCCACAAGAATCAGACACAGACACACAGATACCTAACACAGACAACATTTATCCATGTCTACTTGAATTTTATAGACTTCTAATGATTCATTGTGAATAAAGTAAGATCTTTTATAGTACATACCTTCTGGGATACACTGTCCAAGAACAAATTTATACCCTTTGCAGCATTTTTTCCTAAGAGACAAACAAACAAGAAGGCATTTCAAATGTGATGATAGATTAAAAATAAAATTGTTACAGTGTTGTCTATCCATCTATTTGTCAGTACTATGGTTTGAATTTGAAGACCTCATGCTTATTAGGCAAGTATTCTACCATTTGAATCACATCCCAGACCTTTTTTTTTTTTTGCTGTAGTTTATTTTTCAGATAGGGCCTGGTACTTTTGCCTGAGGTCAGCCTCTGAGGGTAAGCCCCCCATCCTCGGGAGAGCTACGGCATGCCCAGCATGCCCAGCTCCGTTTCTAACAGAGAATGAAATTACCTTGTGCCTAGAAAAACCTGAGGCATAGAAGTGAAATTCTGTTAACATAGTCTAAGAGTAAAATGAAAAGTTTTATCAAAATTACATGTCCTTATCTTCTAATACCAGGATCTGCCACATAATATAGGAAACCAAGCATTTAAAACTCACCTAAAGAACCATAAAAGGGGCTGGCTGAAAACCTGATCCACCACCTACCATAAACCAGTTTCCACCTCTAGTCTATCCAAGTAAATTGACTGCTAGAAGAAAAACATTTGCATTCTCACAGTGCTGCAAACTAATAAATAAATCCAGTTCTCTATTCCATCCTCAAGAATGAGGATAGAATAAAGACATTTCTTCAGGCTAAAAACGAATTAAAACATGAAAACTACAATGTATAGGAAGAAGTAAAGAGTATCATGAATGGTAAATATCTGGATTGGCACAAAAGACTTAAAATGTGCCTTTCAAAACTGTACACAAGTGCTTTTTGCAAGATGTATGGTTGTGTAGATGCAATAAATGTGATCATGCTAGGGGAAAATGGAGCTACATTTCTCTATTTTGTGTGAAATGGTATAGTACAGACATTTTCCCTGAAGTGGCAATGTCCTCTCTGCTTTTCCATATCTCTTGCTCCCAGTACATTCCCTTCTCTGCTCTCCTAGGTGGAGCCCACATGAGCTCACTTCCCATGCCATGCATCAGAAACAAAGAATTAACCAGGATTCACCAATCTCAAGATTATCACCCAAGAAATCTCCAATTGGCTAAGCTATGATTTTAAAATGATAGCTAAACTATCATTTTAAAAACTGTTTCTTTGCAACTATAAAAATCATACTCAAGGTTATTTCTGTTGGGATGATATTCTCCCTTGTGTTTATGAGCACTGATTTTTGGGTGGCTAAATTAAATACACCAGCTGGGGACTGCACGCCACTCATAGTCTCCTGTGTGGACAGATCACTCCCATGGCTTAGTGGAAGTGACATACACTACTGATCTGTAAATAAGTCTGAAAGCAAGCTCCCACCTGCGGGAAACGGTCAGGGCCATCACCTAGGTCAAAAATGTTCTGACAGATTTATGTTCATTTTTCTACCACATTTATATACAAATAAGGCAACAATTACTTTCTATGCTTGCAAATTGTTACCCTTTAATTACAGTATTTGGTCAAATTACTTTCTCTGGCTTGTCTCCTGGGTGAATTCTCATTTAGAAGAGAAACCTAAGTAATCTCTAGAACATAAAACATGAAATAAGGACTTTTGAATTTTACATAAGCGAGAAGTCTGAATCCAATCAGTACAGCAATGTCATTTCATTCCTCTCCTGGTATCATTTCCCACATGCAGCACAGCTGTGGCAGGAAACTTCGAAAGCACAAATAGGGCTGGGCACAGGTGGTTCATGCTTATTATCTACCTACTTAGGAAGATGAGATCTGAGGAACATGGGTCTAAGCCAGTGCAGGCAGGAAAGTCCATAAGAAAATTAACCACCAGAAGTAGAGCTATGGCTCAAGTATTTAGAATGCTAGCCTTGAGAGAGAACAAAAAAGCCCAGGCCATGAATTCAAGCACCAAGGACTGGAACATACACAAACAAACATAAAAACACAGCAGTGGGTTTTCATGATGGAAAGAGTGCATTTAGGATGCTCTAAAAACAGATTTGAGCAAAATAGCCCAGGTTCCCTTCCTCCTACGATACATTTCCTTCTATCCATCCACACATTCATCCAATTTTTCAATATTAATGGCATATAGCAATGTTCAGACCATTCTCATTTGAAATAATTTTCAACCATATCGAAAATATAATCTTACATGCCAAGAGAAACCCATAGAGAATAGATTGATGATGATGATGATGATGATGATGATGATGACGATGGTGATGATGACGATGGTGATGATGATTTAGACCAGATGTAAAGGATCTACCTTTACATTGTATGGAACTTAAAACTCAAGTCTGGTTTCTCATGGTTTTTAAAAGAGTCCAAGCTCCAAACAAGCAAACAGAAAACCAACTTTAAAAGAAGTATTAATTAAAATTTTACAGTTATTATCTACTGTATTACTTGCAGCCACCCTGCAGAAAGCTGTAAGAGAGGGAATGGTACACTACATGGATTGGAAGTCAAGTGGTCTGTAAGAAAGCTGCACTGGGGGAAGGAAAACATGTGGTTTTGATAGTGAAATCTGACGTCTAGCACTGCATTGAAACATGTGGTTCTATTTGTTTCTGTTTAAATACTGTGGCTAAGGTATAATCTCCTAGATGCCGAAAGTCATTTTGAAGTTCTCAAAATGGAGAGGATACTTGCAAGCTCTCTGAACGTGAAACATTAAACTTGGACACTGTCACCTTTTTGAGCATTTTAAGACTTGAGCTTGTCCACACAATTGAGCCAGAAGCAATTTTTTTGTTTTTTGTTTTGTTTTTTTGAGATACGTCTGATTAAGTAGCCCATGCTGGAAAGTATCACCATGCCTGGCTCTGTTACATGCTTTTTGAAGGAACTAAGTGATAATACAGCAATCTGAAATGCTTTCAAAGGTTATAGAGCTCTAGCAGGAGAAGATCCAAGTTTGATGATGGATATGCATTATTTAAACATCTCCTCAGCTCAGAATTAACTTTCCTTTTAGGTTTGTCCTTAATTACATCACTGAGCCCAGCCCTACTCCAGGGCAAGGGTAATTAAGATTCCCAAGCATCCTCCTGCCGACCCCAGAATTCCTGGCCAACATGTCATAATTTTGTATGTAAAAACACTCACTGATCCTAAATTTGCATTTAAAACAAATACTGAAATATTCCAATGCCTCTAAATAAACCCCAATGGTGTATGTTATACTATTTCAAAGCTTACTTACAACTTAATTTATGTATAATAAAGTTGAGTTGGCCAAAGTGAAATCTTATCATGCAAGCCAGGGTGCTCATCAGACCCAACTACAAACACTGCTGTGCAGTTTGTATCTTTAAGAAAAACAAACTAAGATGAGGAAATCTCATGGAGACTCCAGGGAGGCAGTGGTTCTTAATGTGCTTCAGGTGTTGTAACTTGATTTTCCAAATGCAAATACTCTTCTCAGTTTTTGGCAAAGGGAAGTGATCGTCAGATAATTGTGACATAGATAAAGCAATGTCTGGTACAGACTTTCTTGATTAAGGCATTTCCCCTGGGTGCTCCTGAGAATTATCACATGTAAAAAATTATGAACACAAATGATGCAGCCAGGAATACATCCCCGCAGCCAGGTGTGTGTAAGAGGTTTGAGGAGGAAATGCTAAATCAAGGAGATGAAGATAACAGAGATCACATCATCAGGGTGTGTGCTGAAGGTTAGTGTTGAGTTGGGAAAAGAATTTTTAGAATTCTGCCTACAGAATTAGAGGACTAGAAGGGATCTTGTTAGAACAAGTGAGTCAGCAGATAAACCCTGACTGCAATTGAAGGGTTAATCTTACGTTGATCCTAAGATCAACTTGGGCTTTCCCTTGCATAACTGCCTTCTCACGCACCTAATATACAGATTTCTTTTGTTCAATCTATTTTTGTTATTATTAAGGTGTTGCACAAAGGTGTTACAATTCCATAAACCAGGTGACAAATACAATTCTCTTGGACAATCTCTCTCTTCTTTTGCTTTCCTTGTTAGATTTCTTTAAAAAAATTTTAATATATTGCATTGGATTGTCTTTATTTTCTTTTTTGGCAGTACTGGGAATTGAACTCTTGGGCTCATACTTGTTAGGCAAACATGAGATATGCCTGAGTCTATTGCAGTTTGGGTTTTTTTTTAAGGGTTTCACACTCACTTTTCTGGGGCCAGTCTCAGACCACGATCCCCCTACTTCCACCTCCTGAGTAGCTGGTACTCTAGGCACCACATAGAGAGAACTGCAATTCTCTCACCACCACATCTGTTAAGAGCAGTGGAATTTTTAAAGAGTATTTCATAGATTTTGGTATCAAGTTTTGTGTAGTAGAAGCAGTCCTGGTTTGGGGTCCAGCAAATCTGGTTTACAATTTTGGTTTTGACCCTTTACAAGGTAGGTAGATGACCTCAGGCTTATTTTTTAAATTTTGTGAGTTTGTCTCCTCAGCATAAAGCAATACTTGCCTTCTAGATAACATAAAGAAGGGGCCTAGCCTGGGGTCAACATAGTGTTCTTGCTGCACTTTATGAAAACAGTTACTTTGTGAATTTGTCCAGTTGCTTTCACCTTACAAGTCATCTATTTCCCATTGCTTAATCAATAGCAGCCATACCTCTTCTAAAACCGAACGGGGGTGAGAAGGTGGAGAGACAGAAACTTCTGATTTTGAGATGAAAGAATAGTAGTATTTCTGTCCCCTTTTCTTTCTTTAGGTAAAGCTCAAGTAATAAGAACAAGAAATAAACTTGCCAACCCTATGCTGAATGGACTTAGGAGATCCCTCTAACTTTGAACAATGGAACATGAATGTGGTGAACTGATGGAAGAGAGCCAGTGATTTTTGCAGAGTGGAGTAATTTCAAATCCAGGTGTCTCCAGAGGGTGTTACCAGGGAGAAACAAGCCAGCCCACCATAACAATCCTCCACAACGCTTAGAAAGTGGAGGCACCAGCTTTGCAGAAAGTGGGGGCCAAAGGACAGCAAGTCTGATAAAAAGCTTGACTTCCAGTCTCATACCAACCT